GAGAGAGAGAGAGAGAGAAAGAGAGACTTTCTCTGTAATCCCAGCAAGGCCCTTGGCATCAACCATAATAAGGGAAAAAAACACCAGTCACGCTAAGCACCTAATGTTAATCTTACTGGTTGCTGTGACCTAACAAAGCACTAGAGCAGTTAACAGGTCAGAGGGCTCAAACATTCAGATTATACATTATTTGTTTATTATATTTTTTTAGTCCACTCGGCAACAAATGTTCTCTGGGAGGTCTGCATGAAACATAAAGAACAAACACACAATGAGATTCCACCCCGCCTTTAATCATGAACTGGAGCATGTAAAGACTCCTTTCTTTTTTAACACGCAAACTACCAGTTCACAGAACACAGCAGTAGCATCTTTCATTATCTCAGTTAATGCTGCAAGTTCCTATCAGTAGACTCTTCAAATTATCTGAAGAGGAGGAAAGAGAAATTAAGGAGCAGGATAGAATGTGAACTTTCTCCCTAGCAACTGTGCATTGGGTAATACTCTCATAACCTGGTCAGATATAATTCTCCAGAGAAAATCTTTCACCTTGTAGGAGTTTCAGGCACACTCATGCGGAGAGGATAATGAATTAACTGGGCTGCGCTTTGTTTATCCGAATGCAAAATCTTCTTACCCACTTTATTCCAGATTACTAGCGCCTGTCTGAATCAATGCACACTCGAAGAATGCAAGAGCCAGGTTGGAGCAGATCAAAGGCCCATCAAACCCAGCATTCTGTTGATGTTGTGGCCAACTAGTTGCCGGTAGGGAACCCACCAGCAAGATAACAAGAGTCCAACAGAACACTGAAACATCTCCTGGTCTTGCTTGTGCTCCCTAGCAACGGATACACGGGCTTACATTACCTCAGTTATTGAGGTATATTATCTCCTGATATATTTAATAGCTTAGCTGGTTCAATAATCATAATTAACTTAAGCCTCAGGTCTGGGAGCATCACTTCTATAACATCTCCCACTCCAGAGGTTCCAAAGACACACTAATTTAAACTGCCAGACTCTTTCCCAACACAGCCAATTGCTTCAGATTTATACACAGCCCAATGCTTCTTCATTTAATAGGATTACTAACAGAGAGAGAGAGAGAGAGAGAGCTTGCTTAGTTCAGAAACAGAGAAGCCCAGGTTGCAAACATGCTTTTATTCAATGCAATGCTGATTTCTTGATTCTCACAAGGAACTAATGCTAGATAATGGAGCTGAGGGCCAACATTTTGCCTCCCTCACCACCATCACCCATGGCCAAAAGGCAGGAGGGGATCAAAATAGCAAGTGACCAAAACTCCACTTCTGGTTTTAACTTTTTATGGTAGGGCTCCTGGAGCTTTATGGAGGACTTATGACTACTTCACACAAATATTGCTGCTTCTGGATCTTACATGTCCCAGATGTTATGTGCATTAAGGAAGCAAGAGGGAAGAAAGAGACACCAAACACAAAGTTTCTAACATATACTATCCAGAATCTAAAGACAGGCTGTCAAAAACAGCTCTTTGGGCTTCAGCTTTCCAGGGAGAATAGAGAATTCATATGGGAAGCAAACTTCTGCATTTTTATGTTGCTTTTTCTGCCCTGTAGTCTGCAATGCCCAGTGCTCAGCATTTGACAGAAAGACATACTTTCCACAGTCTTCATCATCATCCTCCAATCTGCACAAAAGAGAAAAATAATTCCATTGCACTGCCAAAGCCCAGATGCCAATTCCACTAAAAAGGCCCCAGCATAATGCTAGCATTGTGCATGTTTGTTGTCCAAGTAAAGGGGAATGTCTCTGATGGGAGTTTCATGCCCTAAAAGTAACCCAACACTACCGTTACCCCCAGTGGCTAACCTTTGACCTCTATGGCCAACTAAAGGCCTTCTCTTTAATCCTAAATAATGGGGGATGGGGAAAGGAGATACAGTTTTATACTCTGCCTCTGCAAAGAGCAGCTTAGGACACCTTTGGTAGCAAAGCATGACAAGTAGCATCTGCACTATCAGCCAACGAACCTGGGGAGTATTTATGTCTCTCATGGATAACAAAAGTCAAACAAATTTACTGAGGGATCTTACTCCCTTGCAACAAGAAGGAAATTAGCATGAAAACTGCTAGCTAGCATTCACTTGTCAGAGCTCTTGCACAATTCTGGCTCCAGGGATTAACAAGTTACCTGAGGCACATAGCATGTGGCAGGCCCATGTGAGGAAGACAGGCCTGAGGGCTCACTAAAAAAGGATGAATGACTGGAGCCTGGGCTAGGGAAGTGGAGGACAGACGTTGGAGATCCAGGAGTGTCATGCTTGGAAAGGGAGTACTGTTTCTGATACCACCTGCTGCAGGCAAGAGTAGAGTGGTTCCATGAAAAGTAGAAACTGGTGGACATCAGCTCACTCCAACACAGAAAAGATGGCTTCACTGGAAGAAA